ATGTCAATTAGGTCCAAGTAGCCATCCTTTCCCATATTTTTCTTATTTTTGTGGCAACATCCTGTATAACTGAAATGTTTTCACTGTGTAGCACGTATCCTAATTTCTGAGTTGGTAAGGCAAAAGGCCTCAGAGCCAAGAATGGAGATAGCTATTAAGTTCTCAGGTGGTCGTAAAAGTCAGAAGACAATAACAGCGTGGTCAGTCTTCAACCTGGCCAGACCAGTATGGACTAACATGATTTAAATCTTTCAATATGTAACTACATAGTTTGGAAATGGAGTCTTATGAAAGCACTCCTTAATATACTGTTCTTCAGAATATCCAGGCAGTTCTCAGAACTGTGAATATTCTTTACAGGAGAAAGCCAAGGAGACATATTTGATGTAACTGCTATATCCAGTTTTTTGCAGCTATTGTCTTTTCTGACATTAATTAAATGTTTTCACACTTTCATGTACAGTCCTAACTAAGTCGAGTTCTGAAAAGCCCAAAGAATGGAGGGAACGGTGAAATTGCAAAAGAGAACTTCAGAGTATGTATCTGACTGAACTGTTCTTCCCGACCTCACTTGGAAGCCAGTGTTGGTTAATATGCCGAATACAGAACCAATATTTAATAGCAAGGCTTTGATCAAAATAGTACAGTCCCCTAGCTCTGCTTAGAGCAAAGCAACTGAGATGTAATGTGGGAGCTTGAGTACTGTCCATAATTTTTTTGCACAATCTCTAATTTATTCAGATTTTTCCAGCCACAAATTTCCATGCCATATAATATTTTGGCACAGACTTTAGCCTTGAAAACTCTAAGAGTGATTAGATTGTCCCTGTGGACCCCATGAAACTGTTTGCACAGAATTTAAGGCTTTCTTTTTTACCTCCTCTGTATTTTTATCTCATTGGCCATTCTATTTAAACCAGATACCCAAATAAAGGAAAAACTTGATCTATTCAACAAAGGCCATTAGTCACCTGTTTGTGATGACTGCATCTTCACCTGCAGCCAAAGACAATTATTGGTGTTATATGGTCAACCACTTTCAGCAGAAAAAAAAATTAAATTCCTCTAGCATACATCTCAAGACCAGGGACAGCAGAACCTCATCTTCTGCTTAAAGCAGGAAGCACACAAACCAGTTTAGAATTTTGTGAGGGACATAGGGCAGCCTCTTAAAGCTGTCTCAACCTCAATAATATAAAAATTAGAACAGGAAAGATGCCAATATACAATCCTGACAGATACCTTTTATGAGAGACACAGTCAGTCAGCTCGCCTGATCCTAACCTTGGCCATTGTTTAGCTAGGGATGGCTCTCAAGAGATAAAGTAACCTAGCATGTACGCCAGCCCTCCTAGAGATGACCTCTATCAATAGTATCAAAAGCCCCATTTCAGACTAACAAAGGCAGCATAAATCTTTCCCTGCTTGGGAGAGCAGTGTTTGTGAATCAAGTGAGAGAGAATGCAGTTATGGTAGAATAGTCATTCCAGAAACTAGTTTGTCTGTCAGCAAATAAATGATGATTAAGGTGCCCATATTTCCCAAAAGAGAAAGCAGGATACAGTGCGTGGGTGACCCAGGTGGGCTGGCCTAAGCCCTCCTCCTGCCCCATGGCTTGCCTGAGCCCCCCTCCCCATGTGTGGGGAAGGTAGGGCTTGGGCAAGCAGAGTTGCTCATGCTATACGGCCCTATTTTCCAAAGGCTGGGACTGGCATCACAGCTTGCCTGAGCCCTGCCTCCCCACATTGCACAAGGCTAGCATCACCCCTCTCCTTGATGAAAGTGAGCAATTGTCCCCAGGGCTGTCCTTACTCATACACAGAATACACAATTGCATCAGGCACCCGGAAATTTGGGGCATCACCATGTCTTAATGTCTACCCACCCACCTCTTCCTATCCCTGTTCTGTGGTTCTGCTTCCTCCGGAGAGGATCTAGTTAACTTAGAAATGACAAAGCCTGCCAGCCCAATTAGCAGAACACAGAACCTGTGAAAGAGCCATGCAAGTGGTAATGAAGCCATTGAACAGGCATTTGCCAACCCCAGGGATATACTGTCAGTTTCTGAATTTACTGTGTCAGCGGACAGGACCTCAGTTGAAAATCTGATTAAAAAGACTTTGTTTGTATCTTGCTGATGATTATAAAATCACATCTCTAAAAAAATTATCGCCACCCTTCCCCTCCCGGGCTTCCATCTGGCCTAAGGGCACCCGTTTAATAGTACTGTATAGGGTCCCATACATCCTAAGGATGTCCCGGTTTGACCCGTTTGCTCTTGCCAATTGATCAGATGACCAGGACAGGACTTGAAAAAGGAACTCTTTCTGGACAAAATGGGATGTCTGGTTACCCTAATTATAATTCTCTGATCAATCCTCTAATCTTCATAGTTTATTATACATTTAAAAAATGAAGTGGAGCAAGAACACCTGTGGGCCAAACCCAGGGGACAAATTGGTATTATTTATATTAATATTCCCCCCCCCCCTTTTAGTACAAGGACTTACTGTGCAATATTGTCCTTAAAAACTTCTGCTGGGATAAAATCTCCCACGTTTTCTTAGTGCACTAATAGTTTATGAAAAGCTAAACTGGGCAGAAAGAGAGGGTAAAGTACACTGAGACAGTTCACGCCAAAGGATTAACAGATGAAGAATCCTCGTACAAGTGCCACTCCCAAGCATGTTAAAAATACAAGCTTTGATTTTTATTTTAATCTTGCCATAGCCCATTGCCTTGCCACGAGCTTCTCAAATAGGGAGTTTTTCTCTGTAGCTGCAAACTTAAGTTTCTGACAAAGGGCCAGTTAATGTCTTATTCAGCATTTTTTTAGATTCATGTCTAACAATAAGAAATCTCTTATTAGAACCTGGGGAACCATTATTTCTCACAGCCCTTGCCATAATCTGAAGCTGCTTCTTCTGAATCAAACTTACCTTTTATAGAATAAACATGACCCTTGTTGGCAGTTAGGTCATCTTGTATTTTTTTAACGATCTTGATAAATGTTACACGGGGTTATGCTGAAATGCTAAGATCCAAAACCTGGCTCTTAGAAACGAATCAATCCCTAGATGAGAGTTTCTTTCTGATTTTAGATTTAACTAAGATTCCTCTTAATTTGCCTTGAGTTTACAGCTTCAAAACTAGGAGTAATACACAATCTGCTAGAATTCCTCTGGGAAAATGTGGCTGGCAGGCAGAAATTCACTGGCAAGGAATAAAGCTGTCTAGTTTTAAATCTACTAAAAAGTTAGAGAAATAAGATCAGCGTAAAATCAGAACTATGATATAATCAGTTGCTCTACTGAAGAGGTGACTGTCAAATGACCCACAGATGATCACCACCTCTACCATTCCAAATCTCCAGCCAAATCTATTTAAAATTAAAGTTTATGGCCCAAAAAATTTCTTGCCTAGTCTTAGAATACCGAGGGGGAAATTAAGGCAACACTCCATTTACTGAGTTAGAGGAAACATTTAAAACATCCCTATCCTCTGCACCCTGTAAGGCATTAAAAACTCCCAAAAGAATATTTGCTGTTGGAACCTTTTCCAAAATCATTTGATGTCCATCAAGCTCTGTCAATAAAGATTCTTTATACAAATAAGAGCCCAAAGAAGGCAAATAAACATTCAGAGCTTACAAATAGAGTTAGCCGAGAAACTAATATTACAGGCCTGGAGGTACGGGTTACCAAAAGGCATTAATAAGATAGTTATGACTCTTAATTTGGGAAAAATGAAAAAGGCCAGACTGCATAGCAGTCTAATCATTCTTAACGACCATTCTCAGAAGGCTTCCAAGCCCAATAAATAATGGTACTCCTCCTTTGTAAACCTAATTTCTTGGAGGAAAACAAAAATAAAATGAGACGAATAATTCCTAAAATCCAGTTCCTGGAATATGAGGCCTGTCATTTTGCTAGAAATGTTACAAGATTCCTGATCAGGTCTTCCTCATCAATCTGCCTTCCTTTGAAAGTCTTCAACCGAGAAACTGTCCTGACCAACAGCACCATTAACTTTGTAGTTAGGCCCTATTCTCCCAGAATTCTCATCTCTGAATATGATCTTGGTCAATTCACTCAGGCCCAAAATTTGGGGCAAATCATGTTTTCACTACAGAAAGGATGTGGATGCATTGGAGAGGGTCCATCAGAGAGTAACCAAAATGATTCGGAGGCTGGAGCACATGACCTATGAGGAGAGGCTGAGGGATTTGGGGTTCTTTAGTCTGCAGACTGAGGAATTTGGGCTTATTTAGTCTGCAGAAGAGAAGAGCGAAGGGAGATTTGATAGCAGCCTTCAACTTCCTGAAGGGCGGTTCCAAAGAGGATGGAGAGAGGCTGTTCTTAGTAGTGACAGATGGCAGAACGAGGAGTAATGGTCTCAAGTTACAGTGGGGGAGGTCTAAGTTGGATATTAGGAAAAACTATTTTACTAGGTGGGTGATGATGCACTGGAATGGGTTACCTACTGAGGTGGTGGAATCTTCATCCCTAGAGGTTTTTAAGTCTTGGCTTGACAAAGCCCTGGCTGAGCTGATTTAGTTGGGACTGGTCCTGCCTTGGGCAGTGGGCTGGACTCAGTAACCTCCTGAGGTCTCTTCCAGCCCTAGGATTCTATTATTCTATGTCTGGTGGGCCAGAGTTTAGACAGCTCTGGCTTGATTTTCAAAAGTGCTGGTCATCTCCCATAATCAGTGACTTCGACTACCATTGTGGGAGCTAAGAACTCCGGAAAGTAAGCATTTAGTGTCTAAATTTTAGTTCCTAAAAGCCAAGGTACCTGTAATGAAAGGATTTAAAAAAACATACAACCACGCTGGGCCCGTTTTCTATTGTGTAAAACGGGATTCCAACACACTCTCTCTCTCTTTTCATACATCCACTCAAGAGCACTAAGATCCTCAGCTAAAAGATGCTAGGAAAACCAACATATTATTATTAGAGATAGCAGAAGGGCCAGTGTGGCTGGTTAATGTAGTTACGTACCCAGGAGCTGATTGGCTGACGAGGTGGTGAGGTTGAACTGCTGTTCTAGATATTTCCCAAGGAAGGCTGCAAAGCCAGCCACCACAGCAATCTCCATGCAGGCAGCAAGAACGATGCAGGTGAAGACAGGATTGGCCAGTAAGTGCTTTGTTACTTTAGGTATCACTGCAACAGAGGAGAAAGAGAGACATGGTTTCATGAAGGTTCTTTTCATAGGTTTCCCTAGAGGCCTGAGGTGCCTCTCTGCTCTTATGTGAGACAAACCCCAAGATTTAAGGGCTAGTTCAACATCAGGGGTCTCAAACGGGCCATTTCTGGCTGGAGCAATTGTGCAATCCAGCCTGGGACTCCCAGAGGGCTGTGGGGAGCCTATCCATTACCGGCCCCCAGTGTGCTTAGCTTTCCCTAGGCCTCCCTGGGCAACCACTGGGCCTCCTCTGGTGATCCTCAAAGCCACGTCCTTCATGATGGGGTGCTGTTGAGGGGAGAGGGCAAGGGGATGGTGGAAAAGGGTGGGGTTTGGGGCAGGGATGTAAGGGTATGTCTACACTAGCCCCCTAGTTCGAACTAGGGAGGCTAATGTAGGCATTTGAAGTTGCAAATCAAGCCTGGGATTTAAATATCCCGCGCTTGATTTGCATCTTGCCAGCCGGTTGCCTTTTTTGAAATTTACAAGTCCGGACTAACTGCCCGCGTCTACACGCAGCAGGGACTCGGTAGTTCGAAATAAAGCCCTAGTTCGAACTACCTGTTATTCCTCCTGCAAGGAGGTTTAACAGGGTGTTCGATTTAAGGCTTTAATTCAAAATACTGTGTCCCTGCCACGTGTAGATGTGGGCAGTTAGTCCGGACTTGTACATTTCAAAAAATGGCGACCGGACGGGAAGATGCAAATCAAGCGTGGGACATTTAAATTGCGGGCTTGATTTGGGGATATTTAAATCCCAGGCTTGATTTGCAACTTCGAATGCCTACATTAGCCTCCCTAGTTCGAACTAGGGGGCTAGTGTAGACATACCCTAAGGGGAGTAACAGTTAATTCCATGAGGAGTAACAGTTAATTCGAACTAAGGACTTAGTTCGAATTGCCGTTTCACTGCCACGTGTAGTCGCAGGCAGTTACTTCGGACTAGCTGAATTTAAAAATGGCGATCAGACAGGAACATGCAAATAAAGCCTGGGATATTTAAATCGCGGGCTTCATTTGCAACTTCGAATGCCTACATTAGCCTCCCTAGTTTGAACTAGGGAGCGAGTGTAGACATACAACTAGTCGACTATCTGATAAGCAGAAGCTTATCAGATAGTCAACTAGTGATGTGACTAGTTGCTTTCCCCCACTCCTTGCTGCCTCCGTAAATTAATCTGTGCACAAAGTCAAAGCAGAGACTTGACAGCTATACAAATGGGGCTCCACCCTCCCACACATGCCCCACCAAGTTCACTGTCTAGGAGCCTTTGATTGAGCTGCAATGCAGACACTGAATGGTTAACCAGGCTCACTCCATCCCCAGGATCCCTTGCCCCTCCCTCTTATCTATAAAAGCATGAGATCCCTTTGGCCCTGTTTCTCTATTTCTAATAAGCCAAACACGAGATGGGGAGCAATTACTTTACAAAGGGAAATCTGGCTAATGAATCAGATAGCACATTTTCTACTTCAGTGAGCATTTTAATTATTCTAAAGATAAGACAGTTTGAACAGGATGAAATCCTAATATAAGTGAGAGCCTTGCTTTGTCTTAATACCTGGTGACTAATTTCTCACTGAATTAAATGTGAAAATCATTTAGTTTAAGAATTCTCTCTCTGAAGTGCTAGCGAAGCCTCAATGGGCCTTGTTTGCATTTTAAAATATTTTTTCCTCATGCTGCTCTGCGCACTAACTCTGGCAGACAAATGATTTCTCCAGTGCACACCTCTGTTTTCTTGGAGGTTTTTCCTGCTTTTTGTGAAGTTTAATAGGACCAGGCAAATGCAGGGTCTTTGTTAATGCTTTGTTTGAGCTCCATTGGGGAGGCTGTAATTAGCTCTATCTGGCTCTTGGCAAAGGGCTATTTCAGCTTCCACTCACTTTCATCACATCAGTTTTCCAAGCTGCACAAAATCCTTGCTTCCTGGGGATTTACAGGGAATAACGAACATGCAATGGATCCAGCATTTTTCAGATAAACAGAAAGAAAATCCAGCTTCCCACCAATTCCCACCCTGCCACCTCCTTCACTCCTTGGGTGGCCCTCTCCTAAATTTGTTTCAGATAAACAGAAAGAAAATCCAGCCTCCCACCAATTCCCACGCTGCCACCTCCTTCAGTCCTTTGGTGGCCCTCTCCTAAATTTTTCTTCGTAGCAGACCATGGAGGAGGAAAGTAAAGCTGAGCTAAGTGTCATATTTAATATGTTAACACCTATTGTTCCTCTGGAGTTCAATTAGTAGAATACAAATGGATTCCGTGAGATGCTGGTTTGTCCCAACTCAAAGGCAAAGACGCACAAAAATCTGGTAGTTATTTTTTTTAACAGCTGCAGCAGGATATATATTAAAGTGAAAGAATAATATAGTTCAGAGTCATTTAGACACTCTACATAGCCAGTTCCAAAGATACATTGCAAGGCAAAGGACAAACACTTTATTTTGCACTGTATTGGGTTAAAGAGAGCAAAGATTATTTTGCATTATCAGTTATCTTGTATATCAGGCAGTCTGATCACTGGACAGAGGACGGGATGGAGAAGCAGGAGACTTGGGTTTATTCCCAGCTCCTCATTGACACATTGTGTGATGTTTGATGAGTCATTCTACTTCTCTGTGCCTGTTGCCCATCCCACCCTTTGTCTAGTTTGACCATGAAGTCTTTGTGGAAGCTATTGTATATTATTGTGGGTATATACAGTGGTTAGCACAATATCAGCTGGAGCTAGTGTAACATAAAATACAAACAGTTCAAAAGAGAAGTCAGATTTCATAATTTTGCAGCCTATGTCATCTCATCAATAAGGTCTATATAATTTCCTTTAATTTTGCACAGGAAAGAAAAAATAAATCCGAAGCCTTCCATAGAAATATGACTCCTTTCATCTCAGCTCTGCCACTTGCTCAATTTGCCATCTGCTGCTGGCTAAGATTCATTGCTGCCTGGAGTGAAATACCTTTGGGAATGAAATTAAAAGTTGGCATGGAGTTTTAAATTCCCTAACAGGAGGGAGGAATGAGTGTTGTGTGTGTGGCTGTCTAGAGTGGGGTCCGGGAGTGCGCAGTTTGATGGAGAAGGGCTAATCCATGGATAATGCTGGCTAAATGTGTTTGTTTTCTACTCCATAGCTGATCCATAGTGGAAGCCACCTGCTTCTGCTCCCAGTTAAGAACGGCCACAGGTCCATCTAATCTTTCGACAGTAGCTAATTCCAGGTTACCCAGAGTGAATGAACAGAATAGGCAGTTACTAAGTTATCCATCCTCTATGGCCCATTCCCAGCTTCTGAACACCTTCTTTGCTAATAGTCATTGATGGGCCCATCCTCCATGAATTTATCTAGTTCTTTCATGAACCCTGTTATAGTCTTGGCCTCCACAACATCCTCTGGCAAAGAGTTCCACAGGTTGGTTATGCACTATGTGAAAAAATACTTCCTTTTTGTTTGTTTTAAACCTGCTGTGTATTAATTTCATTTGGTAACCCCCAGGTATTGGGGTTATGAGAAGGAGCAAACAGTATTCCTTATCTACTTTCTTCACACCAGTCATGATTTTATAGACCTCAATCATATACCCCATTTCCCAAGCTGGGAAGTCCCAATCCTATTAATCTCTACGAATATAGAAGCCGTTCCATGTCCCAAATCATTTTTGTTGCCCTTTTCTGAATTTTTACCAGTCCCAATATATCATTTTTGAGATGAAGTGACCACATCTGCATGCAGTATGCAAGATGTGAGCATACCATGGATTTATACAGAGGCAATAAAATATTTTCTGTTTTATTATCTATTCCTTTCTTAACGATTCCCAATATTCTTTGACTGCCGCTTCACACTGAGTGGATGTTTTCAGAGAACTATCCACAATGACTCCAAAATCTCTTTCTTGAATGGTAATAGCTAATTGAGACCCCATCATTTTATACGTATACTTGGGGTTATGTTTTCCAATATGCATTACTTTGCATTTATCTAAACTATATGTTTAACTTAACGTAGTTAGTGGGACGTAAGCACATGCTTAAGCACTTTGCTGAATAAGGACCGAGTTGTTTAGCTCATGTAGTGGACGGTTGTTCTTTGGAGCTACAGGCCTTCCCTTCAACTCCTACTGACAGCCTGGGGGTAGGGGCTTGTTGCATGTGAAATACACAGAGTCTCAGAAGAGCCTTTAGAGAATCCATCAGCCCAGAGCAAATGCTGTGAAGGAAGAATCATGCTGAGCTACTCAAAGGGAGTAACTCATCAGTTAACAACCCTACCACTATCACTATACTGCAGAAATAAATGTCACAAGAGAAATTTCTGCTGTCATTGGACTACCTGTGTCTTTAATTTCCAGCACAGCCATCAATGCCTAAGTTCCTCCTTGCCAAGAAACATTTAATTCAAACACACAACAGAACAGGTCTTTCTGCTTTCCCTCAGACCTCTCCCTTCTTTCCTTAACATCGTCAACCCGTTGATTTCACTTCTAGAACACATACTCAGACCTCTCCCTTCTTTCCTTAACATCCTCAACCCATTGATTTCACTTCTTTTTCCAGAGTCCACCACTAGGGGGCAGATTGTCAAGGGTGCTGAGCAGCCTTGGCCTCGGTTGCATTATGGCATTAGCCTGTCTGAGAATCAGGCCCTAATGTCATTGGCAAGTACTTTACATCCAGTGAGCAGCTTTGATTTGCAGCTGACCAATGGAAAGTTCAGGGGTTACTCAGCACCCTCCTCATACTAGGTGTAACTATGCTCCAGAAATAATAAGCTACAATAATCTCATCAGTGCTTGAAACAAATTGTTTGGGACACGATTATCCTTGGAGGCTGCTTTTGTAGTGGGCACCTCTTCTAGAGGCGTGTTTTCAATTTGCAGTACAGACAGGAACATAGAATGCAAGGTCATCTATTGAGGGGGTGGGGGAAGGGAGAGGAGGACGAATAGCCCAGTCCTACAACAGCACAATGAGAAATGAGCAAAATTAAGTGTGGAGCTGAAGAACCATTCCCAAGCAGTGGCGAAAGCAGGGGTGATGTT